TGTGGCTCGCTTTTTGTCTGGATGTTTGATATTAAGCACTTTTGTCTTGCGAAATCAGTCCGTCATAGTCGGCCCACTGGGAATCAAACAGCTCAATCGCCACAAAGAGGTGTTGTTTTCATGAACCTTTGGCTTGTCTCGAGGGGGAGCCTAAGCCTAAGCTGGTGAAATCGTTGCAGCTGATGAGGGTGCGTGTGATTTAGACCTTTGGCAGGGACTTCCTGGGGATCGTCTCTGTGTCTTCTGTGGGGGCTGTATTGCGATTCATGCCGGGCCCTTTGCTTCAAAGCAAGTGATTGAAGTGCAAAGAAAGTCGAAGGAGCGTTTGTTTGGAGGTCGACTTTCCTCACGTCTCTGGTGTCGTCGCTTGCCTTTTGCAACATCGGAGTGTCGCCTTTTTCTACTTCCGTATGCCGTGCAATCTTTACCCCCCACGTTTTGAGCGCCGTGTTCACTCCACTCACTACATGTGCCCCTGTTCATTTGTTTCAAAACAGGCGTTGTGCCCCATCCTTTGTTACTACAATTCTTGTTCTGCCCAGGCATGTTTCGATGTTCTTTGGGCACCTCACTTTGCCTGTGGACAACCCCGCAACATCGGATATGGGATGGGTCAAAATTAATCCACCAAGAATTGGACCGCCAATTGTCCAGTCTTTGTTTTCCATTGTCCAGACCAAGCCATTTTGGGGATACCAACTATGTGTGCCAAACACCACACCCATCTCCCCAAGCCCCGCACCCCACAGCCCAACGCCACCCCAAACCGCAGGCTTTGCGCCCAGACGCCTTCAGCTTCAGCGCCGCCATCGCAGCGATCGGCGCAATTTTCTGGCACCAGGCGCTGGGACTCCTCGACCTGGCGCGAAACCGCCAGGTCCGCGCGTCCGGGCGCGCAAGTGGGGTGGGTTTAAAGCAACCCTTAGTTGGGGCAGTGTACTTGGTGGTTAGTAAGCCTGGCGACAACCCACTTAGGATACTTATACCCATGGTAAGTGGGTTATAACCATGGTTATTAGCGACTTGCTAAGTACCCTGCCCCTTTCTGCAGGGTCCGGTAGGTTTGCTTTGGTTTGCATCGGAAGCACCCAAAAAGTTGAACCCAAAGACTAAGACGGGTGTAAGCTTGGACGGCCCTAGCTCGGGGAACATGCCCTGGGTTTCCCCTTGAACGTTTCAACATCACTCTTACCATGTTGATATCAACTTTAGGAAAGGGTATGTTTGAAGGTGGCTACAAGGATCCCTGAGCAAGACCAATGCAGTTGATCTAAAATCGATCATCCAGCGTAGGGGCAGGGCCTAACATTTTGGACCCGCTGTTGTACTTGGACACCCTTTGACAGAAAGTAATTTTCCTAATTCAGATCCCTATGACTGGCAGGAGGTTCGCTTCAATCGAAAGAACATGCAAAACAATTACAGTGTTCTTTTTTAGACTTGGCAAGACTAAAGTAAGTATTGGAAATCTGAGAGTAATTGAGTCTTGGCAATACTAAAGCAAGTGCTAGCAAGTCCAAGTCCGACCCCAGACCCCCAGGATTTTCACTAGCGAGGACCCGGGTGACTGGTTCCATTGTTCGGGGCAAAGCAGACCTAACATTAGTTAAGATTACCAGCAAGGGGGAGACTGCTTCAACGGTGATTTAAAGATGTTCAAAGAGAGGTTGGGCTGGGACGTTTTCTTTGGCGAAGTCGAAAAGCCTGAAGCGATCCTAGGCCAGATTTCTCGGTTCAGGTTTTGGACTTGCAGCGCGCATATTGTTGAGCCCCTGTTGAACTGGAAAGTTCAGAACCCTTTGAAAACGCCTCTGGAGCAACCGGAATGGATGACTACCCCAATATGCTATCTTCCCTTCACCCGAAACTAGACCAAATAATGAGGCCAGCTTATGAACGTTTGTTGCCTCACCGCCCGTTTGTGCCTGTGATTGTGTGTGTGTGTGTGTGTGTGTCTGTGTTTGTGCGCGTGTGAGTGTGCTGCGTGCCTGTTTTTGGTTTTGTATGTATGTTTGCGTGCTTTGCTTTGTTTCGCTTCGTATTGCCAATTGCTTTGCTTCGCTTGCTTTGCTTTGCTTTGCTGTGCTTTGCTTTGCTTGCTGCGCTTTGCTTCGCTTGCTTTGCTTTGATTTGCTTGCTTTGCTTGCCTTGCCTCGCTTTGCTTTGAGTTGCTTTGCTTTGCTTTGCTTTGCTTTGCTTGCTTTGCTTTGAGTTGCTTTGTTTTGCTTTGCTTTTTTTGCTTTGCTTTGTTGTTTTTTGCTTGCTCGCTCGCTCGCTCGCTTGCTTGCTTGCTTGCTCGCCTCGCTCGCTTTCTTGGCTTGCCGCTGTTGGTTTTCAATTATGTTGTTTGTTTGGGTGTTTGCGGGGCGGACCGCGGGTGAGTGTCGGCATGGGTGCGGGTGTAGGTGTGCAGGCTTGTTGTTATGCGGGCTTTTGCGTTTGCACTTGCCCTTGTGCGCGTGCGTTTTTTGCAGTCTGTTTGCCCGTGTCTTTGCGTGTCTTTGTGTGTCTTTGTGCTTTCTGATCCGTCCCAGTCTTCCATGTCATGTCTTCTTTCTGTGTGTCCTGCTCTGTCCTAACCTATCCCTTCTGAGGCGTGCCCTTGTCATTGTGAGTTTGTCCTTCTGTTTGACCTTGCTGTCGTTTCTCACTGGTTGGTGGTTGGTGTTTGTGTTTCTTTTGAAAGCAACATCTTAGAAGGGCACCTTATTTGTGCAGGTTCGGCTGAACCAATTCAGCAGCAACGGCGCTGTGAGTGCCTGTGAGAAGGCGGGGGGCGGGGGGGGGCGGGGGCTTGGCTCGCAGAAGCCCCTCGGTACCAAGATGGTTTAATCAAACCCTTTTAAGATTCCTTGTAAACGAGACCAGTTGACCGCTTCTTTGTTTTTGCCTTGGGTGCGTTCTTCGGACCAGGTTGATGAAGTTGATCGTTGACATTTTTAGGTAGCGCCCCCTGATGGAAAGGCAAAAGGAAACGCCAGAGATCCGAAAGTGCAGAACCACTCAAAATCAGGGAGTCGGCAGTTCCTCTATTTACCTGGGCTCCGTTTCTCCGGAGGAAGGTGCTCCTTTTGCAGCTGGGGGTCTTGTTTTCAGGCCTGCCGCTGGGAGTGGGCTGTGGCCCTTTTCCGCGACAAGGACCTGGTCAGCGGCAACGGGCTGCTGCGCGCATTGGCGCGAGCGGGGCTTTGGAGGGAGGCCCTGCGCCTCCTGAGAGAGATGCAGGAGAGGGGATCGGCGCTACACCAGGGAAAGTACTTGGCTTCCGGCCACTCCCTGTGGGGCTCCAGCCAATTGGGAAGTGATCCCCTTGCCGACAAACCCAGATTGGCCAGCTGGTTCAGTCGGCGTCACTTATCAAGCTGCCCTCCAGTGGGCCCAGCAAATCCGCCGACCAAATCGCAATGAAGGCTTTGTAAGCTGGGCAGAACTGTATAGTTCCTTTTCCGTAACCATGGCCTTTCCTTTACCCCGCACGTCACCTTGGGTAAAAGGGACTTTCCTTACGGAGGGAATTCACTACACCCCAGTGTTACACCAACGTTCCTTAGGGGACGAAATCACAGCTTTCTAGCATGCCATGCGGACTCTAAGTAGCATCGCTGGAGCAGAATTTTAGGTCAAAACTTTGTTGTGCGACTACCTCAACACATTCGGAAATGCTGCCAACTTGTCCAAGCCCTTGAAATTACCGCGGCGAAAAATGAACATACGGCCAGAAGATGGCATATACACATCTAGGGGATTGCTGTGCAATGCCAACAGGTGGCGGGTTGCACATGGGAATGTGCCGCAAGTCTCGTGTCTGAACTCTCGGCCTGCAATGTGAATAGCACTTGGGCAGGGCTGCACTCAATTCAGAGGCCAAACCGGCTTCTTGTTCGCCTGCCAATGGACAGGCCGGCAAGCTAACCGGGCAGCATGGAGGTCACTAAAAGTGAAACTCCTAGCAGGGGATCTGAGGGCAGCCCAGATGTAGAAGGCGCAATTTCCTTTATGTGGGTTGGTGAAGGGAGTGGCTAAATCTACATCACGACGGGCATACTTTCACTTGGGCAAAGTATGTGCTAGTTGCGAGACCTTTCAAAGGGGCTGGACGTTTTGGCAGGTGGAAATTGAAGGAAACCTGTCCCCTAATTTGGGTCCAAAGCGCGGTAAAGAAAATAACCCCCACCTGGGCTTGCAACAAGCCCGGTTGCCATCATGCAAGACTGTTATTGGTAGCACCCCAGAGTTTGTTTGGCCTTGTGAACTTGCTTTCCGGAAATGTGTTGTTTTTTGTTGTTCCTTCTTTTGTTTGGCCCTGCTTTTTTTTTCCTGTTTGTTGGTCTCTTTCTTTGGAGGAGAAGATGCAAGCCAATGAGATCAGCTACAACAGTGCGCTCAGCGCTTGCGAGGAGAGCCAGCTCCTGGGACTGGGAAAAATGGTTAGGGACAGTTTCGTTGGTTTTCTCCTGTCTGTTTCCGCTGGGAATCCCCTTCAAAGTGCATTGAAGTAGTCTTGGGCATGGAAGCAACCACTTTGCGTGCAGACGTAGCATCGCGACTGATCAGGTCAGGACGTTTGGTGGCTAGCTTGCCCTAGTGTTTGCACTGCGAGGAGCCCAGTGGCTTCTACTTGGCGAGTCTGCCTGTATGCAATTGTGACTGTAACTGTTTGCTTAGGAGGGGTGAGATCAAGGAATGCCTGGCCATGTGTCTTTGTTCCAACCCCGTTGTTCAGTGGATTCCACCCTTCCAGAGAGTCAACCCAAAGAATAACTTCTCCCTCTCTTCGGGCACTTGTACTGGCCAACCGGGGTCAATAGGATCCAACAACTCTGCAACAACAGCCGCGGCCAACACGGTGGGTAGGGCCGAATCTTGGCTGGCTTGGACTCTTGAAGGTTGTCATTCTCATGTTTACCCCAGCCGCAAGTCACAAGTTTCCGTTTTGAGACTTGTCATTTGCTGACCTCCGTCATGCAAGCCTCGAAAGATGACTCTTGAGCCACCTGACCTGTATGCTGAAAGCCATATTCGACGATGCCCCCTAATGTTTCGCTTTATCCTTTCAGACCCTTTTCTATTGGTTGCCCTATGCAACGGGGAGCCTTGAGGCAGTGGATGTGCGCGCTGCATCTCCTGGACGGTTTCCCTCGCGTGGCGCTGCGTCGCGATATCTTCTCCTTGAACACGGTCCTCGGTGCCTGTGAAGCGGCAAGGCACTGGCGCCAGGCCCGTGGGGTGCCCATGTGGGATGTTTCGGGGCAGCGTGCCTTACACGAAACGAGTGGGCAATCTACGGCGTTGCCTTTGCCACACCATAGAAAGATATGTATGTATAACATTGAACTAGGCAACACTGAACTAATTCTAAACCAGATTCGCAGCCGCGCTTCGCAAACGCGGGGGGGGGGCATTTGGACAAGGACTAAGATAGGATCCCCTCGTAGGGCCGACGAGCCAGCAGAAACCAGCTGCATCAGGCGAAATCGGGCAAGCTCCAGACTTTGAATTTGCAGACTGACCTCGATGCAAGTGACGCAAAAGCCGGCTGAGACAACCTTAGCTTGGGGCCCTCGACCAAAAACATTTATTATGTGTTGCAGCCAAGCAGCAAAAGCGAGAAATAGACAAAGGCAGGTTTAGAGCCCAACATGGGACCGAAAGTCCTCGGCTTTCAGAGCCAAGAGAGCCCCTACCATCGCACGCTTGGCTTGCGTCGACCGATTTGAAGAGAGTTCTGAATTTCGTCCCGTCTCCGTGCTTGGATACCTAAAACTGAATGTGATCTCAGGGGGAAGCGTTGCGGTGCGCGGATGGTTTGAGCCTGCGATAGGCTTTTTTTATGGAGGCCGTGAGGCGTGGTTTGAACAGGCTGGAGGACCATGTTGTAGCCAACAGACCCCGGGCAAACCCACATCACACAGAGACGCTACAAGCGGAAAATACACAGACAAACAACGGACCCCACACGCAACACAACACGACACCAAACACAGAACACAATATTCCAACACCAAACGCACAAAAACAAAATACCAAAGCACCAAAACACAAAGCACCAAGCTCCACACCGCACAGCGCAACACAACGCCGACACGCTCAAATACAAACACACACACACAAAAACACACCCACCCACCCACCCACCCACGCACGCGCACGCGCAAACGCACACGCACACGCACACGCACACGCACACGCACACGCACACGCACACCCGCACACACACACACCCACACCCACACCCACACCCACACCCACACCCACACCCGCACACCCACACGCACACGCACACGCACACGCACACGCACACGCGCACGCACACGCACACGCACACGCACACGCACACACACACACACACACACACCACACACCACACACCACACACCACACACCCCACAGACCACACACACCACACACACACACACCACACAACACAACACAACACAACACAACACAACGCAACACAACACAACACAACACAACACAACACAACACAACACACAACACAACACAACACAACACAACACAACACAACACAACACAACACACACAACACACACGCACGCACACACACACACACACACGCACGCACGCACGCACGCACCCACACACACACACACGCACGCACGCACGCACGCACACACACATACACACACACACACACACATACACACACACACACACACACGCACGCACGCACGCACGCACGCACGCACGCACGCACGCACGCACACACACACCACACACACACACACCACACACACACACCACAAACACACCACACATACACCACACATACACACACACACCACACACAGCACACACACACACACACGTACGCACACAGGCACGCACGCACGCAGGCACGCGCACACACACAAAACAGAACATACACAGAGACACAAACACAGACGCAGACGCAGACACCGACACGCACACACAAATCCACACACATCCACACACACACACAAACACACACAAACACAAACAAACACACACACACACCACACAGACACCACACACACCACACACACACAACACACACAGACACACACAACACACCACACACACACACACACACACCACACACACAACACACACACCACACAACACACACACACACCACACACACCACACACACACCACACACACACAACACACACACACACAACACAACACAGAACACAACACAGAACACAACACAACACAACACAACACAACACAACACAACACACACACGAACGCACACCCACACACACACACACCCACACACACACACACCACACGTACAACAAACACACACACACACCACACACACGCAGGCACGCACGCACGCAGGCACGCACCCACGCACACACACACAAAACAGAACACATACCGAGGCACAAACACAGACACAGACGCAGACACCGACACGCACACACACACACACCCACACACACACACACCCACACACACATACACATACACATACACATACACATACACAAACACACACAAACACAAACAAGCACACACACACACATTGCCTCTGGAGATATGGTTCTGTTAGTTCAGGTTAGCTGGCAGGGCTGAAAATGAATTAGTGGGCTCCTTTTTGGTTGCCTTGCTGAGAAAGAGGGAGAGAGAGAGAGAGAGAGAGAGAGAGGGGGAGAGAGAGAAAAACAAAAAAATGCCTTTGCTTCAACTTGTCACATGATGCTCTCAATTCCAAATCGGGTTCCCGTTGGGCACATTTCGCCGGTTCCAATTTCTCAGTGGCACCCGGCAAAGTCTCTTGCAAGTTGTTTCCCTTTGGCCAACAGAAGCAAAGTTGCATTTGAAGCTTTTGATTTGAGTTGAGTAGCCACTTGGTCTGAAGTTTTCTCTGGCTTGCCACTCCCTTTCCGAAGGATTCTGTTTGGGCCATGTGGGTTTCCAAATGCACGTGGCTCAAATTCCCCTGCTTGCCCCCAGCCCACCTTCGAGCTTTTGGTTTCACCCTTGTGATCCAAGCAGGTCAAGGTTTGAACAGTACTGGTTGACCCGTCGTTTCCCTTTTTTTTTTGGGCCATTGCATTTTAGGCAAGAAACCGTCGCACGGCTGCGCAGGTCGTTCGGCTGCTGTCCAGACACTCTTTGGCATCCTTAGAGCCGGACGTGCTTTCCAGCAACCGCGCCGTGGGCGCATGCGCTCTGGGCGGCTTGGGCGCCTGGCACGCCGCACTGCACTTCTTTGGGGCAGAGAGGCAGAGGAGACGCGGAAAGAAGCAAAGCCAGGGTTCCAACTAGTGACTTCCCGAATCGGCGAATGTATAAAGGGGTTCTGTACTTTTAGGGCTTCCCACCAGGTCAACAGGTAAGCCCCGCTCCAGGCCTTGAGGCTCGCTGGATAGTTGTGCCATCGCAAGGTGGTTTGAAGCACTTTGTAACTTTCGGCCGGTTTGCAAGTCAGACTTGTTTGCACGCTTGGCGAAGGCTCCCCTTGAGCCACTTGAGCCACTTGAGCCACTTGAGCCACTTGAGCCACTTGAGCCACTTGAGCCACTTGAGCGCTGAAGGAACCTGATCACCCACAATGCCCTGCTGAGAGCGCGCTCGGATTGGCAAGTGAGTTTGCTTGTCCTCAAAGGCTTGTCAGATGCCAAGCTGGAAGGTGATATCACCAGCTGCGAAGCAGCTATTGCTTCTTGCGAGGGCAGAGCTTGCTTGCAAGAAGCAAAGCTGCTCAGCAGCTTGCTGGATTGGTCGCTGCACGTCATGAGGAAAACAACCGAAAGGCGCTTGTGCATCCTTCTTCCTATGCTATGGCAAGCTCACCCCGGGCGGCGGGGGGGGGGGGGGAAAACGAGTCACCATGAATAGGGTTCTTACTCGGGGGTCCTGTACTCCAGGTTTTGGAATGATTGGGAGATTTGCAGACCATGGGCTCTCGCCCGTTCTCCAAGGAACAGATTTGACTGAGTGCCTCCAGCATTTGGGCGGTTGTGAGTTGCAGACCAGAGACTGGCAATGGTGAGGTGTGTGACTTGCCATCCAAGGTTTACCAGCTTCAACAGCAGTCGCCTCTTGACCAGAATACAGGCCCGCGATTCATGTCCTGAATGCAGCAGTCTGTGCTTTGGGCTTTGTGTGGGGTTGCCCTGCAGCAATCTGTCTTGGGTGGTGCTGCAAAATCGTGTGGTTTTACTGACTTGTTTGACCTTGGGGAGACGCCGACAGGGTGCTCGGCCGGTTCGAGCTCGCACGGGTTTCGAAGTGAAGCTCAGGCGAGGCTACGTGCGCCGGGCGCCCAGGGGAGGGTGAATTCCGGGCCATCCGCTGAGAATCCAAGCCACGAGGGCAAATGACCCTGTGAGATGCAGTATCCAGGATTTCGCCTTTCCACCTGCCGCAATGTAGCGTTCTAGGGGTGCCTTCCCCATTCTTTCCAGGGATCCTTCTTTCTAGAAAACCTCCGGAAACCCAGGGAACACGGCCGGTTTTTGGCAAGAATGGTTGAAAAGAATGGGGGATCAACCCCTAGCCTCTGTTTTGACTTTTCGGGTTCCAATTCGCCCCGGTTTGCGAATTTGCCTTCAAGGCTTCCGGTCCTTTGTGGCAGCAGAGCGCTGTGTGTCTGCCAAGGCAGGGCCCTGCCTTCAACCCTTGGCACCCTCCCCACTTGGAACCGGACTGAAGGTCCTCGGAAGCTCGTTCGTCCCATACAGAGGCCTTTTGGAGCGGGGGTCACTCTGGCTAAAAGTGGCGCTGTCCAGACAGTGTATAACTCATGGTTGAGTTGTTGATTTCACCTGTTTGAAGGCCATGCTCCCAAAGAGGGTCAACTCGTGCGGACAGACATATATTTAAGTAAAGCACCCACCTCGTCCTGATGTCTTTAATTTCCCTCCCGAGTTGTCAGGTAGCGGACGCAGGGCATGTTTTCCCAACAATGGACTGTGCCCCCTCAAAATTGACGGAATGAGTGGTGTGACCCCGAATTCCATGTATTGGATCTACGGCTGACCTTTGCCCTGAGGCTGGCTTA